ATTGCCTACCTGGAATGGGTGACAATAGTTGAATAAACTTTTGGCTCTAAAAATGGAATCAGTGTCCTATTTGTTGGTACTCGCTGATACCGATACCACCATTTTAGTGCTGGATCGAGGCCCCGCCCTATACTGGTATAAGTGCAACACTACTCATCATTCTGCCTTTTTTTTTTTTATAAGGTATTGTTACTTTATTAGTAGTATTTTGACTTTAATCACAAAACAGCATTTTGCTTTTATTCATTTTGAAGTTAATATTAACTCTTTATCATCTATTCTTGAATTCAATACTTGACTTACTTTATTCTAGATATCTCCACTTTTTTCTTTTAAACAGGCAAGAAAAAAAGGTTCATTTAAAAAAAAAGTTTTCAACCAAGTGACCCCCGATATTCTCTTGTACTAAAGTGCTCACCAACTGCTTTTTCCTTTTATGTTACAACCTCGTTGAAATTTGATAAATTAATTTTCCTTTCCAGATGCTACACATAAATCCCATGATGATAAAGTGGAAAAAAGAGCTGCAAATCATTGAGAATTTAATAAAGAAAATCATTATTTGCTTCCAGACACTCAAAACTGAGCCTGGATGTATTCCTTTTTTTTTTGACGAGCACAGCAAAAATCTAAATCCTTGGGTGAAGACTCTGTCAGGGCAAAACATATCTGAAGCTTGAAAAGCACCCAATGTGAATTAGCAAATAGGGATCTATTTATAAAATACTTGGATGAAAGACAAATTGAGGAACCATCCAGAGGGTTAACCAGTCAGCCAGACACAACCACTTCAACTTGACCAATATGGACATTAGAGATTATAAAGCCAGAAAAAACTAAATTATCTGGCAAGAAAAAAGAGGATGCTGCTCAGTGTGAAGCATGGAGGAGTCAGCATCATGGTGTGGGGATTTACTTTTCTGCAGTATATTATTCTAGAGTCTAGTTTATGATTGATTTTATTATGTTGTCCTGGGTTTTTATATGTCTTACTGTACTGCTGCCTCTTGGCCAGGTCTCCCTCGAAAAAGAGATCTTATCTCAAGGGACTTCCTGGTAAAATAAAGGTTAAATAAATAAAATAACAATAAAATTTTGTAACTAGCCTGACTATAGGCAAGACATTCCTTAAGGAAAGCTGATCCAGAGTGGTTGGGTGGCAGTTCCTAAAGATTCACAGGAAACCCAGCAAGAACCCTCACCTATATTCTATGGAACATCTCTGAAAAATGGCTGCAGATTTAACCTGATCAGCTGAAAAGAACGAGAGATAAAACCATCAGACAAGAAGACTTGAAGTTGAAATGGTGCCAAATAAGGCAAAGTAATAAGCCATGGGTGTAAATACCTGAGTACACAAAATCAATAAATAGACATTTTTTTCAGTAATGCATTTTTGATGGTTTATAGATCTTTAAGAAATGCATAACTTTATATACGCTGGAAATAATCTGCAACATAATAAATATGGAAAAACAACACACTGAATACTCTCTGGATGCAGCAAAACATGGATGACTGGAAACCTAACTAGCATCCTCACCAGCTAATGGCGATTAGACAAAGAATTCATTAAGTAGGGAAATTGTTTAAACTTTTCAAATTAGTTTTCATAATTAAAGATGAGACCTCAATGATAGGTCAGGGGTCAAAGAACATATGCACAAAGATAAACCAGTTAAGTATTAATAATTTCAGATATGTTTGATATTTTTGAAGGAAAACGTTTTTCTTACACCACTTCAAAAAAAGCATCAACTTGCAGCATCTTATATGACCTCAGGCACAGACTGAAAGTGGGGAAGTTGTAGGTGAATTAAGACAAAGGACACTGACTCCCGGAGGTGTGCAGCACATCACTCAGATGAAGCAACAAATGCAATCCCTGCACCTGGAGAGGTAATTGAATTTCAAAGCCGCATTCTGCCGTTTTCCATATGGTGCTCTGGCATGACCAGGGCATGAGTCCAATAACACGCAATTATAATGGGAGAGCCGGGTGTGAGCGAGTGGAAGTAAAAGGGACAAGAAAAGAGCATTGGAGGATAAGGAGCCTTTGCCCACTGTGCAGGAGTGGAATCTATGGTTCCAAGGTTTATTTTGGGATAAAACACATTTTTAAATTCAAATGTGAGTTTTAATGCTTTATTTATGAACACGTTTACTCAGTAAAAAAAAAAAAAAAGTTAAATATTCAAGGTGCTCTTCAGTTTTCATAATGTGGAAGAACAAATAATGTCTTCATGGGAAAATGAACAGACTCACAATAGTGCAGTGAAAGTGAAGTTTAAAAGATAAAGGAAGTGCTACAGTTCTAATTTTTAATTTACAGCACGCTCAGTTGTTTCCAGACAAAAGCACAGATGACCTGTGGCCTTGTTTCCCACACAATCCTGCGCTGGAATGTGTCCACTGATCCCATTAACACACAGCAGGACTCTGGTTAACACTGCCAAAAGCTGCATAATGCTATACAATACTAGAACAAAAACAAACCTGGGTACAAATCATCAGCTCTCACTTTATCATCGCAGTATTAAACCACTAGATTCCCACTGCAAACAGAAAGCTTTGCAAAGTATCAGCAGGAAGGAGTTCATACAGAAATATACAAACACACACCTGTGTGTGTGTGTGCGTGGCGTAGATACCCCCCCCCTTCCAAAAAAAAGTGTTTAAGTTATCATAAAAAGACATTAATCACAACACACCTAATGTACCTCCCCCCCACTCCCTTTTCACCATGGAGACAAACATGAACATCTGTCAGCCTCTATGATGTGTATAATGTACAAACTAACACTCATTGATGCTTTGTGCATTAAATAGCTACCAATAAGAAAAAAAAATGTCTTTGCAGCAATACCTGATACAGCCCGTACTTTCTAGGAACTGTGACCTCACGTTTAAGGATTTTAATGTGGGTTCTATCAAAGCCTACGGGTTACTTTTGTAAAGCAGGCTGTTTTTTGGAGGTGATCCAGAACCTGAACATTTCTGTGACACAAAGACTAATATTTAAAACTTAACCCTTATGATTGGGAACTTCCAAGGTTTCTCTTTTTAAACCCTGCTTGGCTACCTTTGAACTGTGAGGTGACTGATACTTTCCAAGACTTGCAAGGCATCCTCTGAAAAAAATCAGGCTATTTTCCTGTCATTTCTATAGTACTTTGCCAGAATTCTATAATTTCTGATAAACAAAAATGAACCTTTAGGCCCCAAAAGTTAATATCAGGAATTTTCATTGTTACTTACCTGGAACTTGCAGATTAACCTATAAAGGAAGCACACACTGGAACTGAGAGGTCCGTTTTTATAGTTTAAAGAGTGCTTCATTGTGCTACTTTTCCAATCTTGCCTATTTCAGGGTATCTTTATACGGTGGTGTATTCATTAATACTTTCTTTCTAGGACTAACATGTTACTTTAGGTAACTTACAGTTTCAAAATACAACAGGCTTCTTTATAAGGTGATGTGTAAGATTACACTTTCTAGGACTTACTTCTAGGACAATTAATCGCCATGTGTTTTTTAACCTTATCATTTTCTTGAACTTTTATGTCCCTTTCAGGCTTTTTTCCACTAACTTGCAAGCTAATTTTACTAATGTTTTATGTGATGATTTGAAGCTTTTTGGAACTTTCATCAGTAATCTCTGGCATTTATTGGTTTGACCTTGAAATTCCCTGCTATGATGAAACTTAAAACTAACTCAAGCAAAGGCGGGTTAATTAAACCCGATACTTTATAAATCCTACATGCCGCTCTCAAAACTAACAAGAAACTTTGTGGAACAGATAAAACTCACCAGGAAAGTACGTGTTGTGAGGCGTATTGCTACAAAAGTATTAAAATCTAATCTTCAGCTACAGCTGACATTTTAGATAACCATAATTTGCTGTTTAGAATAATGCAAAACCGACGTTGAGTCGCAGTGCAAAGAAGTTGACAGACCTCAAATAAATAGGTAAAAATATGACCAATGATTTCATCACCTTAAAAAAAAGAAACTCTACAGAACCTTTGATTTGTTCAGTTCAGGATTACCCCTCGTTGCTTCAGACAAGCTAATTACCCCCTTTTCTCGGCCAGTAAAGCTCTGATTTAAATACATGTCAGTTAAAAAGACCAGCATCCTGCGTCTAAAGAGTAAAAAGGCACAAAGTTTAAAAAATGAAGTCCCACAAGAGAAACAGGATGAAGATGAACCTGAAAGTCCTCGATGTTGTGGGTGAAGTCCATGTGGGTGACTGACAGACAGAAATGGGGACGATGAATGAGTAGAGCGGGTTGTAACAGGCGGGCGGGGTTAGTGATGGACTCCAGCATGCAGTCAGTTAATTAGGCCCGTGGAGGTTAATGATACTCCTGAAGTCTTGTTCGTGGCTGATGGTAGTGGGGTTAGTGATGCAGGATCACCACAGGTACGGTCGAGTCGGGTCTCGGTCTGGTAAACCATCCTCTCTCTCGACGTCGATCGGTTCAGACACTCACCCAGGACTGCTCGAAGCTGTAGGTCCTCCTGCGATCATCCGGGTCTTCTGGAACGTTCTGGGCCTGCTGGAACTCCTGCCTCAGCCTCTGTATCCGGTCATGGTTGCTGGGAGTTAGCCGGTTACTAAGAGGAGAGAGAAAAAAAAAAAAAGAAGGCGTAAGATGAATGAGCGTGAGAGGGCCATTGTGAGTGAGTGACCTGGTTCTATCAGCGCCGCAGGAAATGGTCTGCAGGATGGAGTTGTTTAAAGGCGGGCGTGCTTTGTCCATGGATTGATCAAATGCACTGTTGACATTGGCAAGCCGGCCCAGATAGACTCAACCCGGGGAAAAAAAATAGAAAAGGATATGATAAGTGAGGGCACAGCTGAGAGCAAGCTTACAGCAGAGCCAACAGCAATATGAATCAAACTAATGTGTCTCTGATGTATTATTCAGAACAATGAACAAAGACTTGTGGCAAACAGTGAACAGTCCCCCCCCCACCACCATCGTTCAACCACTGCAGTGCTGCTTTAGTGTACTACTGTACTATTAAACTACAGTAATAAGTGCTGGCTTTGCAGGTACAACAGTAGCAGGAGTTAAGGCAAGATGTTTACCACAAACTGTACTAGAGTCACAGAATTCTGCATGCTGATCATTTATGCTTAGGGTTTTTCTTTATATTTATTTTTTGTTTATACATTTTTGAGAACAAACTCAAGTTAGATGTGTTGCTGGGACATTTGTGAAGCATCCTGCAGCAGCAAGATGACCTGAGACTAACGATGCACCAACCACTGAGAAAGAGACAAAAACCCTTGGAATGAATCTGACCTCTTATTGGTGGAGAAAATAGTAAAAAAAAAAATATATATATATATTTCTTCCATTTCCTGTCATTGAAAGCAACCACTTTAAATGTCCTTGTGTTTGGTTGTTGATTGGAGTGAAAAATAAACAGCATGTTTTCACCTTTTTGCTGGATTCAAACCTACTAGTTTCATTAATACATTTTAAATTGAACACATTTGCATATTTCTATTCTATATTTCATGTTTGTTACATCATTGGATTAAGAAAATACTCCACCCAATTAATTTTAAAGATAAGTCAGACCTTAGTGAAATATTAGAAACATTTGGAGCCTGATGTGAGGAGGAAGACAGGAGCTGAGCACACTGAGACAAAGGTGACAAAGCTGTTCTGATTCTGATTAGCAAAATAAAACAATATATCAAAAGGTTCCTTCTGAAAGTGTCCCTGTCTAACTGAGAAGGTTTTGGATGTTCCCAGGTTCCAGACTATTTTGTTCATGCAAACTATTGGCTGGACTTCAGCTTTTTTACGTTTTCCTCAGTCCTGAAATAAAAAAGAAAACTTTGTTGTGGGTCAAAATGTTTATTAGTGAATGAAAATAGTAGGAAAGCTCAAATCAGGATCTTTACTTAATTTTCATACAGTTTTTTTTGCAAATTAAAAGCTTGCCATATTTGTCTGGGCTTATTTTCCTGCTTATATTTCAGGTACCTCTAAAACCTGACCACCAGCTTATTGCCTTTCTGTGGAGATATTTTTAGGCACAAGTAGCCTTAATTTTTAAAGAGGCCTTTTTTTTTTTTTTATCAGAAATGCATTGAAGCCCCTGAACATGTATAATGAACTTAATGCCTAATAGATTGCCACAACCTTCAGGTCAGATTTTTATGTTAAAATTTAATTTTATAGGTATTTCTACAGAGTGGTATACAGAGAACTTTGCAAAAAAGTACAGGTTACTCTCTAAATATTACATCTTAATTCTATTGGACTTTAAATAACCAGTTCTTTAGATAATTCAGGCAACTTTTATCCAGCTTATGTGCTGCTTTTCTGGTAACTACACATTAGTTTCTTTAAAGGTTCTGGACAGGATGTGACCTTGGCATTTACACTTTAAGTGACTTGATTGCTCTCTTCAGGGGCTTGCAGCAGGAACTAAATTAATAATAATATAAAAAAAAACATTCCTTAAGTAATCAACATGTTGGACTTCCTACTTGAAGAGGCAACATTTCTGGATTACACCTGAAGACGGCTATATAAAAAAAAAAAAAACAATGGGGTAACTAGATATTTGTTCAACTTTAGATTTAATATGTTTAAAAGAAAAGTCCATCATATTCAGATTTCAAACTTCTGAAAGTACTTTAAATGGGAAATTATTATGCAGTGTTTAATAAATGATAAGTGTTTTTAATTAAAAGTAATTTCATTTGACTGTGCTTTACTAGAGGCATCCATGTTTGTCAAAGAACACTACTGCCACCTACTGGTTTGTGACGTAACAGTGCGGTATCGGCTGTTGATCAAGTCCCAGTGCTGTATCTGGTGTTTGTCACAACGCGCTATTATCCAAGTCATCTTGAAA